CCCCTGAACCATCTCCAGTGACCTCAGGCCCTTTGGTTCTTCCAAACCACCATCCTTGGTTACAAAACCCCCCTGAAATGCACCTTCAGCCACCTGCAGACCATGACCTCCAGTATCTGCTCAGCACATTTCCCCTTCAGTTGGCTTCATTCCCAGTATTTCCTCACTCGCTCTGTTTTATTCCTTCTCCTGCTGGTGGAAAGGAGTGTTAATGGCACAGAACTCTGCCTGAAAGCTCCTTCCTCCTGCAGCTCCACTGGGGCCAAGGGGATAAACAATTTCCATGGAATCATGGAATCCCAGAATGGACTGGCCTGGAAGGGACCTTAGAGCTGATCTTGTTCCAAACTCCCATTCCTCCCCATCTCCTGTCTGGGTGGGGTTTGTTTATTGTCTTCTCAATCTTCCAGTGCTCATAATTAACACAACAACCCACCAGAATTCATTTGCATTTCATTAATCAGGAAGGGTCCTGGGGGCTGAGGGGGGCTGCAGGTGCCCCGTTCCTGCCAGCCCAGCCAGGCAGCTCTCCCTGCCCACCAGCCCTGTCCCAGTGGGTCCCAGTGAGCTCCTGGCCTGTCCCCAGGGGGTGACATCACCTGGATCTGCTGCCAGGGACCTCTCCAGTGCTCCCAGCAGAGCCCAGACTGGGAAATGACCTCACAGTGCAGCTGGGACTGAAACCACACAGAGCAATGCAGCATCCTGCTGGGTCACAGAACCCCAAAATCACCGGGGATGGAAAATCCCCCCCAGCCCATGGAGCCCAACCTTCCCTGCACACCCCCAGGGATGAGACTCCAGCAGCTCCCTGGGCAGCCCCTGCCAAGGCCTGAGCTCCCTTTCCAGGCAGAAATTCCTGCTGCTGGCCAAGCTGAGCCTGCCCTGGCCCAGCCTGAGGCCATTTCCCCTTGTCCTGTCCCTGTTCCCTGGGAGCAGAGCCCGAGCCCTCCTGGCTGTCCCCTCCTGGCAGGGACTTGTGCAGAGCCACAAGGTGCCCCCAGAGCCTCCTTTTCTCCAGGCTGAGCCCCTTTCCCAGCTCCCTCAGCCTCTCCTGGGGCTCCAGCCCCTTCCCAGCTCCGTTCCCTGCCCTGGACACGCTCCAGCCCCTGGGAAGGTGAGTCCTGCTCCTGGCACCATCGCTGCTCCTGTGCCAAGTCACAGCCTGGAAACGACAGCACCAACCTCCAACTCCTGGTTTGCATTCCTTGCTCCCCATTTTTGTGTTTCCTGTCCCTGGCAAAGAGCACAGCTGGGATTTTTTCCCTTCCAAGCCTTGTTTTCCCTGGAACTTTTGGCCAAGTATTGTTAAACTGCCCCTAGTTATTAAGATTTTCATTCTTTATTTACTCAGCTGGAGCAGATCTCTTCCAGAGTCTCTCCCCCAGGATTTATCTGTAGGTGCTGATTCCTTTACACGAATCAAATACAATCAAGCCCTGGTCCCTGACACCCCAGGAGTGTCAGGAGGGGCCTGGAGCGATTCCTGTTTGTTCCATCAGAAAATCCCCACTGGCTACAGCCCCTCTCACACCCCAAAACCACGGGAGGGGGTTCATTGTCATTTTTGCTGCTTCAGGGGTACCACAGAACCCCAATGTCCCTTCCATAAACCCCAGTGGCTCCTCTTTGTCGGTGTCCCTGTGATTTCCATGGGATCTGGTGCTGGATATAAATCCCCTGCTTCCAGAATTTCTGCACCAGCTGAGTGGCTGCTGTTCCCAGAGCTGTCCTTGGACCACCAGGGCCTCCTTCCCAACCCTGGCGCTTTTTAGGGCGTTGTTTTTTACATTTAATTAAAGTTGTCAGCACAGAGCAGATGTCCCTGAGCTGCCAAACTGCTGCCAGGAGTGTCTGGGCAACTGTCCCAGTCCCTGCAGGAGGTGTGACATGTCCCCATGTCCCTGCAGGGGGTGTGACAGGTCCCCATGTCCCTGCAGGGGGTGTGACAGGTCCCCATGTCCCTGCAGAGGGTGTGACATGTCCCCATGTCCCTGCAGAGGGTGTGACAGGTCCCCATGTCCCTGCAGGAGCTGTCCAGCCCTGTCCCCATGTCCCTGCAGGGGGTGTCCAGCCCTGTCCCCATGTCCCTGCAGAGGGTGTGACATGTCCCCATGTCCCTGCAGGGGGTGTCCAGCCCTGTCCCCATGTCCCTGCAGGAGGTGTGACATGTCCCCATGTCCCTGCAGGAGGTGTGCAGCCCTGTCCCCATGTCCCTGCAGGGGGTGTCCAGCCCTGTCCCCATGTCCCCAGTCTGCCATGTCCGGAGTGTCTGGGAACTGTCCCAGTCCCTGCAGGAGGTGTGACATGTCCCCATGTCCCTGCAGGAGGTGTGACAGGTCCCCACGTCCCTGCAGGGGGTGCCCAGCCCTGTCCCCATGTCCCCATGTCCCTGCAGGGGGTGTGACATGTCCCCATGTCCCTGCAGGAGCTGTCCAGCCCTGTCCCCATGTCCCTGCAGGGGGTGTCCAGCCCTGTCCCCATGTCCCTGCAGAGGGTGTCCAGCCCTGTCCCCATGCCCCATGTCCCTGTAGGGGGTGTGACAGGTCCCCATGTCCCTGCAGAGGGTGTGACAGGTCCCCATGTCCCTGCAGGAGCTGTCCAGCCCTGTCCCCATGTCCCTGCAGGGGTGTCCAGCCCTGTCCCCATGTCCCTGCAGAGGGTGTGACATGTCCCCATGTCCCTGCAGGAGCTGTCCAGCCCTGTCCCCATGTCCCTGCAGGAGGTGTGACATGTCCCCATGTCCCTGCAGGGGGTGTCCAGCCCTGTCCCCATGTCCCTGCAGGGGGTGTCCAGCCCTGTCCCCATGTCCTCATGTCCCTGCAGGGGGTGTCCAGCCCTGTCCCCATGTCCCTGCAGGGGGTGTCCAGCCCTGTCCCCACCTGCACATTCCCAGGGCCATCCAGTCCTGCCGTGCTCCCGGGATCCTGCCCTGAGCATTCCCCAGCTCCTGCCCAGCTGCTCCCTCCATCCAACAGCCCCTGGGAAAGGAACAGTGCCAGGCTGGGAAGGGAAAGGGATGGGAAAGGATGGAGGATTGGGAAAGGGATGGAGGATTGGGAAAGGATGGAGGATTGGGAAAGGGATGGAGGATTGGGAAAGGGATGGTGGAATGGGAAAAGGATGGAGGATTGGGAAAGGAATGGTGGAATGGGAAGGGAAAGGGATGGAGGATTGGGAAGGGAAAGGGATGGAGGATTGGGAAGGGAAAGGGATGGAGGATTGGGAAAGGGATGGAGGATTGGGAAAGGGATGGAAGATTGGGAAAGGGACGGAGGATTGGGAAGGGAAAGGGATGGAGGACTGGGAAAGGGATGGAGGATTGGGAAAGGGATGGAGGATTGGGAAAGGGATGGAGGATTGGGAAGGGAAAGGGATGGAGGACTGGGAAAGGGATGGTGGAATGGGGAGGGAAAGGGATGGAGGATTGGGAAGGGAAAGGGATGGAGGATTGGGAAAGGTGATGAAGTGTTGGGAAAGGAACAATGGCAGGCTGGGAAGGGAAAGGCCAGGAAGTGCTGGGAAGGAACAGGCAATGCTGTGGCCAGCCCTGCCCTCGGGGTGTGATGAGCCATTGGTTTGGAGAAGGGGATGAATTCCTGAGAGCTCCAGCTCTGAACTGAGCAGCAGCAGCAGGCCTGACCCCTGAGCTCTTCCCAGCCTGGGTGCAACTGCCCCAAGGAAAGCAGGGCAGGATTTATATTCCATGGAACCAGAGCAATCCCTGCACAGCACCAAAGCCAGCCTGGGAGAGGTGGGGACTCCTCAGGGAGGCAGGAACCGGAGGGAACAAGCACAGAGCAAAGCAGGAATCAGCTCCAAGCTGGGCTGGGACGAGCCTGGAGCAGCAGGTACCGCTGCAGGTCTGGAGCTCTACGCTGCTCACACCAGGAAGCCACACTACAGAAAGCTCTGCAGGTCTCACCTGTCCAGCACTTTGGCAATTTAGCCTCCAGCTGTTCCTTAAGGAATGGCACACTGTTAAAGGAGCGAGCAGAAGAGGCAGTCAATGGAACCATCGGGATCTGACCCCAGAGCAGCACAGCCTGGCCGGGGTGGGCAGAGGGCGAGGGACAGCCACGTCCTGACTGGGACACAGAAACCACTCCCAGGAGAATCTGCTACTCAGGATGCCAAATAAAACCAGAGCAGTGACTCCCTCACCCTCAGACTGCAAATGCTCCACGCTGATGGAAATGGGAGTGCTCCATGTTCCTGGAATTAGGTCCCAGTGCTGCTGCTCCTCACTGTCTCCTACAGGTGTGAAGAGCTTTCCTCCAGCCTCTGCAGGACACTAGGATTTACTGGAGACTAACCTCAGATTGTTTGGGTCTTTTCCCCTCAGTTTTCACTCTGGAGGTGAAAACTGACAAAGTGGGGAAGCAGAGTGACCTCAGGCTGCTCAAACCAACCCCAGTGCAGCGGTTTTCTGTCCAAACCATGCCAGCAGGTGCACAGGGAGGTCCCAAGAGCAGGGTGACAGCAGTGCCATGGAGAGAGGACAGGGATGTGAAGCCAAGGCCCCAGGCAGCAGCAGGAGCTGACCCCTGCGATGGGCCTGACACATTTCTATCATTTAATTAAACAGGAATGAGAGAACAGAGCCTGACCTGAGGCAGGGACACATGGGAGGTGCCACTGGTGGGGACAGGGAGGTGCCAGAGCTGCAGGCAGGACACAGCCAGGCATGGCTGCAGCTGCACCAAACACCTCCTGCAGCTGAGACTCCTCTCACAACCACAGCAGCTGATGATTCCCAGAGAAACATTTATATCACAGCACTGAAAACCATCACACCCAGCCCAGGGCTGCTCCCTGCCCCGAGCCCAGGGCACAGCAGGGGCTCAGGGGGTACTCACACCATGGGGCAGTGCCCAGGGGGGCTCAGGGGTACTCACACCATGGGGCAGTGCCCAGGGGGGATGAGGAACAGGCTCAGGGGTACTCACACCATGGGGCAGTGCCCAGGGGGGATGAGGAACAGGCTCAGGGGTACTCACACCATGTGGGCGAGGTCCAGGGGCTTCTCAGGCTGCTCTGGGAACAGCGGCCGGGGCGGGTCCCTGCTGGGCACGCAGCCCAGGGATTTGCTGATGGCGTGGCTCAGCTTCTTGGCCGGGGATTTCTGGAGAGGAGAACAAGGACAGGAGGCAGGTGAGGCTGGGGAAGGGCAGGGTGCAGCCAGAGAGAGCTGGGAAATACAACAGCGAGGTGGAAAAGGGCAGAACATGCAGAAATCCCTGGTCCTGTTACAGCATTCCTGGGAAATCAGCGCAGACACCGCACCGGGAACAAGTTCTGGGAGGCTTTTAAGTGATCTGATACTGACAATTGAAAGTTTTAATAAAATTATGTAAGATTAGGAAATAAACCAATTACCTGGGGGTTCTGTCAGGAATTAAGCCCGGGGCAAATCCCCTCCCATTAAGGGATTTTTACACTCACTCTCTGAACACATCTTGAGGGCAGGAACAGTCACATCCCCATTTTCTGTCCTTTCCAGGCAAAGCCAAGGTGCTGGGACAGGCAGGAGTGACTTTATCCCCTTCCACTTGTGCCCTCACTTGTGCTAAATCAGTGATCAGTGATGCTGGAGCCTTGGGAATGCTGCTGGCAAGCGCTGCCACACCCACAGGAATGGGGACCTGCCCCAAGTCGTGACCAGAAAATGGGGTTTAAACCCATATTGACTTCCAAAATTAAGTCTGGAAATGATGCTGCACCCACCGAGTTCCCATGGGAGCCCGTGGTCTTTTCCATTCCATGATTCCATGGCCAGGGGAGCTCAGCTCCTTTGACCTGGCAGCTCCTTGTGCTGCTCTGCCTCACTGACATCCCAGCAAAGTGTAACCCTGGCTAATGACTCCTGGGGAATTCCCTGCTGCTCCTGCACACCATTCCAAACTGGAGCTGCACCAGGTCTCAAGGGACGCTCAAACTAAAATTCAGGTTAACGCTGGTTCAAACAGGAGCCCTGGACAGGAGTTACAGCCAATTACCAGGCAATTACTGCCAATTAGCACCACTGACTACCAGTGCAATCAATTCCTGCTGATGTCCAACCTGCCCCTGCCCTGGAGGTGCAGCCTCACTACCATCAGGTGCTGCAATTTTTATTTATCAGCAACAGCTCCATCCTGGAAAGCAGCAGGATTGTGGGAAGGCCCTGGAGGACACCTCATCCAGCAGCCTCTGGATCCCAGAGAATGGGCACCTGGTCCTCCCAGTGTCACCAAATCCTGAAATGGTTTGTGTTGGAAGGAGCCTTAAAGCTCATTCCAACCCCCCTTAAATTGCTTTGAAATCCTATGAAAATCACAATTTTACTCTGTACCACTTACTGACCCCACAGAGAATTTAAATCATGCACACGGAAGTGACTATTCCAAACTCAAAGTTTCCCTAAATTCTTCACGTGCTGAAAATGTCCACGTTTATTTCTCTCTGAATTTGTTCATTCCCACAGATCTGAGGGACCCAGCAGGACCTGCAGGGCCAGGAGCCAGGGAATGGCTGCCAGTGGCAGAGGGCAGGGCTGGATGGGATTTGGGGCAGGAATTGTTCCCTGGCAGGGTGGGCAGGCCCTGGCACAGGGTGCCCAGAGCAGCTGGGGCTGCCCCTGGATCCCTGGCAGTGCCCAAGGCCAGGCTGGGCACTGGGACAGTGGGAGGTGTCCCTGCCATGGCAGGGCTGGGGCTGGAGGGGCTCTGGGGTCCCTCCCAGCCCAGTCTGGCATGCCACAATTAAACACTAATTAGCAATCAGGAACAGCTCTGGGATGAACCCGTGGCTGCTGAGCCCAAGGAAGTCAGGCACAGAAATGAAAAATGGACACGAGGCCTCCCTGCCCCTCCTGGAACTGTTCTGCCTCCAGGATGTTCACAGAGCAGCCCCCTCCCCTCCCCTGCCCGTGCCAGGGCAGCAGTGCAGCAGGGCAGCAGTGCAGCAGTGCAGCAGAGTGCAGCAGAGTGCAGCAGAGTGCAGCAGGGCAGCAGTGCCGGGGCAGCAGTGCCAGGGCAGCAGTGCAGCAGGGCAGCAGTGCAGCAGGGCAGCAGTGCCAGGGCAGCAGTGCAGCAGAGTGCAGCAGAGTGCAGCAGAGTGCAGCAGAGTGCAGCAGAGTGCAGCAGAGTGCCAGGGCGCAGTGCAGCAGTGCAGCAGAGTGCAGCAGAGTGCAGCAGTGCAGCGGTGCCGGGGCAGCAGGGCAGCAGTGCCAGGGCAGCAGTGCCAGGGCAGCAGTGCAGCAGTGCCAGGCTGCTCCTCACCACGTCCCCAGGGCTCTGGGGCACCCCTGGGTCACCCTGGCCCAGCAGGACCCGGCAGTGCTGGGGACAGGGGCACAGCCCCAGCTCCCTGCAGCTGCACCAGGGCAGGGAAGGGCTGGATTTTGGGAACAATTCCCACCTGGAAAGGGCTCTCCAGGGCAGGGAAGGGCTGGATATTGGGAACAATTCCCACCTGGAAAGGGCTCTCCAGGGCACAGAAGGGCTGGATTTTTGGAACAATTCCCACCTGGAAAGGGCTCTCCAGCCCCAGCACTGGCTGTCCAGGGCAAGGGTGGGGTCCCCATCCCTGGAGGGATTTCGAAGCCCTGAGGATGTGACACTTGGGGCCATGGGTCAGTGGTGGCCTGGGCAGTGCTGGGGAAGGGTTGGACTCAATTGTCTCACAGGGCTTTTCCAACCCAAGTGAATCTGGGGTTCTGTGACTTTTATAAATTTTACAAAAATCATACAATCAGCTTTCTGAGATCCCTTCTTCAGCAAACTCACGGCCTTTTCCATGCCTACACCCATCACTGAAGGACACTCACCTTTTGCTCACACCTATCAACCAATATTCAAATAAATGGTTTCTGCTTCTTTTTCTTCCTGCGTGGAATAATAAAACTCATGGCAAAGGTTTGCCACTTGTTATTGTAAGGGTTCAGGGAATCAAGAATTCTTCTAAACCTTTCCAGACTGCAGCAGCTCCCTGGGCAGCCCCTGCCAAGGCCTGAGCTCCCTTTCCAGGCAGAAATTCCTGCTGCTGGCCAAGCTGAGCCTGCCCTGGCCCAGCCTGAGGCCATTTCCCCTTGTCCTGTCCCTGTGCCCTGGGAGCAGAGCCCGAGCCCTCCTGGCTGTCCCCTCCTGGCAGGGGCTTGTGCAGAGCCACAAGGTGCCCCTGGAGCCTCCTTTTCTCCAGGCTGAGCCCCTTTCCCAGCTCCCTCAGCCTCTCCTGGGGCTCCAGCCCCTTCCCAGCTCCGTTCCCTGCCCTGGACACGCTCCAGCCCCTCCAGGGCTCTCGTGTCAGGAGGGGCTCAGAGCTGCCCCCAGCACTGGAGGTGCCCCAGCAGTGCCAGCACAGGGGACGGGCACTGCCCTGGCCCTGCTGCCACCCCAGAGCTGGCCCAGCCCAGGGCCAGTGGCCTCTTGCCCACCTGGGCACACCTGGGCTCCTGTCCAGCTGCTGGCACAGCACCCCCAGACCCTTCCCAGGCTGCTGGGGCTGTGGATCCCCTCCCTGGGATGGCATTTCCAGGGCTCCTGGTGAGGATCCCGTGGCTGCTGGGGCTGGGCAGGGCTCAGCCCTGGGGCCACCGAGGGGAGATGGAACCAGGCAGGGCCCTGTGAGTGAAACCCCCCAGCTGGGGATACCAGACCCTGTTCTCTTCCAGGGGAACCCTTCCCACCCTAAACCCTCAGATCCCAGCCCAGGGATGGGTACCCAAGCCTGGAATTTTGGGTGACAGACTGTTGAGTGTCACAGAGCAGCCAGAGCCTGGATAATCCTCAGGCTCCAGCAGGAACCACCCAGCTCTGGCTCCTGTGACCAGCCCTGGAACCAAAACTGAATCAGCCCAGAAATGAAAAACTGGAAAAGCTTTCAAGGTTTTCACCCCTCCAAACGAGCAGNTCCCTGTGCCGCTGCCCCGCCGGTGCCGCCCTGCCGGCCTCATGGGCACTCCTGACCCCGGCGGCACGTCCTGACCAGCATCGGCCTGGCCCTGGCAGCTGCAGGAGGGAGTGTCAGTGCTGCAGGACCTTCGCCCGTGCTGTCTCAGCCTCAAGGACCCAGAGCGGGGGAGAAGAATGGCTGGACCCTCCTCCTCCTCCTCCCTCTGGGCCGGGCTTGGCCACCCCCGGGCCGCCCCACCTGCCCCGCTGAAGGAAACTGGAGAGTCTTCAAAGAGCGCCAAGACAATGGCTGCAAAAACAGTCCCACCCAGGCCCCCCGCAGCACCGGCACCACCGGTGCCGGCAGAACCGGCCAAACCCAACACAGCCGCCTCCGGTGCAGGACAGCCCCAATCCCACCTGAGCCAAACGCAACACGACCACCCCTGGAGCTGCACAGCCTTGAGCCCGCAGTGCCGGTCCCACCCGAGCCAAACCCAACCTGGCCCAACCACCCCAGCCTTGCACAGCCCCACCAAACCCGGCAGCACCGGTCCCACCAGCACCTAAGTCAACCCAGCCCAAGCACTCCAGCACCCCATGGCCCTGTAAGAACTGCCCCCGGTGCAAGAGCTTGGCCAAGCCCAGCACAACTGCCCTGGCCCTAGTGGCAGCCCGATGCTCTGGGGCCAGCACAGCACAGCCAGCGCTGGGGCAGTGGCTCCTGCACCAGAATCGCCCCCACCAGCAGCCCCTGGACCTGCAGGGTCCATGGATGGGGCTGGGGAGGTGATGGAGTCCAGCCTGCACTGGAGAGGAGGGACAGGACAGCCTTGTCCTGGAGCACAGAAGCTGGGCAGGGTGACCCCCACACCACACACCCCACATGGCCAGGGATGGACACAGGGATGGAACGGACAGAGGGGAGCTGGCAGCCTCAGGGGCTCTGGGCATCAGCCAGGTGCAGCAGGCACCTGAGCATCCAGCAGCTCTGGCACCCTGAGCCTGCTCACAGGGCTCTCCCCAGAGCCCCCTGTGCTCTGCCCCCGCCCCGGCTCCAGCCACTGTGGAACAGGAGGGGACAGCTGGGCACACTGCTGCCCCTGCCTCCCCCCACATCCAGGGGACTGCGGGGACCTGGGAGCAGCTGGTGCCACAGGGCTGTGGATGCCCCCCTCCCCGGCCTGGGAGGGGGTGCACGCCGCAGGGACCCTCTGTCCCAGCCGGGCAGCGTTAGGGCACAGGGAGGACAAGTCTGGACCGGGGGTGGCAGGCAGGGAGTGGCACAGTGCCTGCTGTGATCCCATCGTGATCCCTGGAGGAATGCTTGCCTGGGGAATGCCTGGTGGGATTAGGCTGAGCCCCTCCTGGCACCCCTGGCACAGCCTGCCTGGACCTGCCTGCCACAGGGCCGTGGGTGGCTGAGCTGGCACGGGGCTCTGCGGCACCGGCAGTGTCTGGGTGGGGAATGGGGTGAGAGGGCAGTGTCTCTGCTGCCACCAGCCCTGGCCCGTCCCTGACCAGGACACGGCTCCAGGCGCATCAGCTCAGGGCCAGCGTCCAAGGTCACTCCCCACATTCCCCCATGCAGACTAAACATGGGAGGTTACATCGTGTCCCCAGTGGTCACACAACCTCCTGAATGGCCCTGGTCCGAGACTCCTGTGCCCTACATTCCCCTGTGTCCCTGAGGCTCTGCTGCCTCCAGCCCTGGTGTCCCCACATCCCCATCAGCTGGTGATCCCAAGCCCTGCTGTCCTGGTCACCCCACCGAGGCCCTGCTGCCCTCTCCCCCCGATGGGCCCAGAATGTCCCCACAAAACTCAGCAGCCCCAGCCCCGCTCTCCCAGCGCTGGGGAGCCCCGAGTGCAGAACCTGCTGCCCCTG